CCTTCAGGGCACAGGGAACATCTGGTAAGCTTTCATGGGGGAGGTTGCCTTGACCAGCACTTGAATCGCTGGGGGAATTTGGGGAGGCAGAAAGCCAGTGAAGCAAAGTCTGGGGACACTGGAAAAGCAAGAGGAGCACTGGGAAACGGAGTTTGGTTAATTCAGGGTGAGATCTTCCCAGCTTCTGCTTCCTGAAAGCTGTTCACTTCCTCACATACCTGCTGGGGCCAGGGGAGCAGCCAAGACTGTATAGAGGGCACTGTGGCAGTCACTGGCAGCAAAGGCTGTCACACCTTCACCACATACCCTTCCCTTGAGCTTCCCACAGTCAAGGTAAGGAGCAAGTCTTCTTTACTGTTCATGTGGTATCTTACCCAGGCATAGGCATTTTTAGCTAATGATTTAGGAGAATATTTTGATTCAGTCCTTGGGTAGGGGCAGGTAAAATGGGCTTTTCTTATGCTCGTTTTATGGAAATGTTAGCATAGATTTAGGGGAGGTAGACCTGCTTTTTAAACTTGCACATGGCATGAAACTTATAGCTTGACAGGCCGTTTCGGAGTGGGGATGGGGGTGGAGGGGGCTGTGGAGCTGGGGTAGGTAGACCAGAGTCTTCTTGGAGTGGGGAAGGAGGGGAATCAGATTGGAACTCCTAGGGAAAGCAGCATCTGAGATCTCTGACTGGATGGAGGTAGAAGGGGCTGAGTGGTGAGCCCTCTCTCCTGAGACCCCTCCTCCTGCATCCCCATGGGATCTCCCATCCCTGCTTGATCTTCCCTTATCTTTCCACAGGCCTCACCTCTGAGGAGTCATGTGTTCCCAAAGGAAGTGAGAGGGACTCTAGACTGTGAGAAATTTGGGCAGCTTAGAAACAGGAATGAAATCTCATAACTATGCCAGGGTCACTGGCCCCTATCCCTACACTTGCGGGGGAGGGAGCCAGAGACACAAGCACTTCTGCTGCCCTGGGACTGAAGCTGCCAGAATTAATCCCTCCCCACAGCAGAGAGGTGACTGCAGCCCTTGAGTGAATGCTTGGCATTTCAACAGTGCTTTCACCTTTCTTTAAAACAATGCCATCTTAGCCTTCTCATTTCATTTTCACATACCGCAGAAGATCCTCAGATGAACTTAGCCTCTCTGTGCCTCAGTTTCCTCAGCTATAAAATGGGGTAGTGATGGGAACTAAGGAAGTCAAGACAGATGATGTGCTTGGCACATAGGAAGTGCTCTCTACCAGTTTACTTGAATCTTTAAGCTGTGTCCCTTTAAGCAAACCACTTTCCCTTTCTGAGTTCCACTTTCTTCATCTGTACAAATGAAGGGGCTCAGGGAACTGAATGACTTTCCAAGTACCTGTGAGCTCTGACCTTCTAAGATGTTATATGTCTGAGGTAGGGAGAACAGAGATTATTGTTCTATTAAAATACACGAGGGGGGCTGAAACCCCCCCAAAATGAATTGACCTCTGAAAATCACACACCAGTTCCCGGCCAAGCTGGCGTTAGGATCCAGAACACCAAACATCTAGTTTCAGGCCACTGAGCCAACTCTGTAGCCTACCAGTTTTTTAAAACCCGGGGAAGATCAGAAAGCATTTTGTTTGCACGATGGTGAAAGTACCAAATGGAGGTTCCTGCAGCTTCTAGGGCTAAGGAAAGCTTGTGCAGACCCATACAACCCAGGTGTGGCCTTCCTTACTGGCCAAGGTCCCTGCTTTATGTGGCATTTCTTCTCCCAGAACAGATTCCCTCTGGAGGGTGGCCTAAAGTATTCTCACTGTTTGCTGGGAACTCAGTGAAGCATCATGATCAAATGCTACACACACACACACACACATATAACACCTACAAGGTGGTTTGGACAGTTTAGGAGGCTGAGGACCAGAAAGGCCCAAGGAGACACTTTGTGAAGCTGCTTGGTAAGCCCAGGCAGAAGCAGACTCAGCACTGGAACTTAGGATTCTGGCTCCCTGGCCTGAGGGCCTGAGGGCCTGAGGACCAGGCAGGCCTCCTGGACCAAGTACCTGGCTTTACAATCCTAGCCCAGTTTCTACTCAAGCTAATGCTGCACATCATCTCTCTTGACTTCCTAGAAGACTGAGGGTCTGACCTGTTCCTGTGGAGGCCTTATGGATTGTTTAGAGCATTGGAAGTTTCCAGTGGCCGAGGCTGGAAGGGGGGCAGCAGGTAAAAACCCCTGTTAAGAGCATGGCAACTGACCTAAGCTGAGGATGCAGTCAGGTTTGAAGCTTGACTTACCTATTAGTGGCTCTATGAATTTTAACAACAGATTTGACCTCTCTGAGCCTGTTTTCCCATTTATAAATTGGAGGTAATGATGGCTCCTTGTCCACTTAGGGTTTCAGCATGAGGCTTTGTGGAGATAATATCAGTTCCCACTAGTGAGCTCCTATTGTGGGTTGGGCATGGTGCCCAACACTTTACCTGCATCATCACATTCAGTCCTGACCACAGTACTGAAAAGTAGACAGAGTATCCCACCTGGTGTGGAAACAGGGATCATTCAGATCAAGATGCTGGCTTTCAGGTCTCACAGATAAGTAAATAGTGGTGCCAGGATTGGAACCCTGATCTGATTCCAGACTTCCCCTTCCACTGAAAGCCCTTTGTTAGTATAATTATTATCAGATAGCATGGCCTGTAGGTCAGCTCATAACCAGTTTATTAAATTCCATTAATTTTAGATCTTGTTGCAGAATGTAAGTCCAAGGGTTCAAGGGTTTAGTTGAAGGGCTTGCTGATGTTTCCTGTGAGACAGAATTAAGCAAACTGGCCCACCACCTGTTTTTATAAATAAAGTTTTGTTGGAACACAGCCACATCCATTCACTTACACTTTGTCTATGCCTACTTTTGCATGACAACAGCTGAGTGGAGTAGTTGGACAGAGAATGAATGGCCCACAGAGTCAAAAAATCCTTACTATCTGGCTTTTTACAGAAGAAGTTTGCTGACCCCTGATTTATCACATTCAAGAAAATGTTCTGGTTGCAGCTCCAGCCTTGGGCTGAAGTCCAAGGCAACAGCAAGGGAAGTCCCTTGCCAGGCTCCCTCTCTGAGCACCAGCCAGTACAAAGGGAAATAGGACTTTTCAAAGGAGCCCTGGAGAGGTCTTTCACTTTGGGGGTCCCAGAGAAATGCTGGCTGAGTCAGCAGCCCCCTCTAGGGCCAGGATCAGAAGGTGGTAAGTCTTTCCTTGCCATTCACTTTGCCATTTAGCTGGCACAGGCTCACGCTGGTCAGGAAGAAATGTTGGATCGAGACATTTCAGTTGAATAACCTTTAGGTCTAAGAAATAGAATTATAAAGCATTTCAGAAAGACCACTCACTCAGGCCAGGTCCCATAGTTCCCTTCATGACAGAGGAGCACAGCCCCATTTGGGTATACCAAGTCAGCCAGAGCTGTGGGAGAGTCTGAAATGTTAGGCTTCGAAGTGGCTGTGGCTCATTTTACACCACACCTGAAGGTCTGAAAAGCTGTGTGTAGTCTGAGTCAGTTTGCCTCCCTAATCTCTGTCATTTCACAGGTAACCTTACTTTCTGATGGGTTTAAAGCACTGTTGTTTTTCAGGTTCTCTGCCATCCACCTTCATTATTTAGGTCCAGGACCTATGGTCCAAAAACAGTTAAGTAAACTCCTTGTTTTCCTCTATATTTTAAAAGCAATAAAAATTAAAAATTAAAATTAAAAAATAAAAATAAAATAAAAAATAAAAGCAACCCCTTCCTCTAATCCTATTGTATTTTCTTTTTTTGGTCAAGTCAAGATATTGCCAAGGAGTGGCAACCCATAGGTTCTGCCTTCTTTTGTCAATAACACCAGTTCTCTTTCCCCTTGCCCTCTACTCAATGGAGCTCAGACTTTCAGTCAAGCACAAGAATCCAGCTGACTCCATGAGTCTGGAGGCCACTGGTGGCTTCCTCCCCCTGCATGTCCCCACCTCCACTGCCCAGCATCCTCCTGCCAACTTAACCAAATTCATTTGGGCCTTCTGGAGACAGTGTTAGTTTGTCAACCCCCATGTGCACTTCTCTGATCCTACCAGTCAACACCATGCCATCCGTTTCTATTGTACTTACTAAATACCAAACATACTTTGCATTTAAGTTTGCTCTCTAATTATGGGATCCTTTATAGTACCACAGAAAAAATTTACATTCTAGAATTTAAGGTCCAGGTTCTAGACTCATTTACTGTCTGTGAGCAAGTCACTTCACCTTTCTGACCCTATTTTCTCATTTGTAAAATGGGTATTGTGGTCTTTGTTGCCTAATTGTTAGGATGATAAAATGAGTTGAGTTTTGTTTTTTAAATAGCACTGTAAACTGTTGAAAGGCTACATACTTATGGGTCAGTCTTAAGTTGTCCCACCCTGCCACTTTCCCCTTCTCCTTGGTTTCATGGGAAACTAGAGCTTTGGGGGTGATTAGGGAGGTAAGAGATTAATCAGCATAAAGCAAACCTACCCAAAACCTCCTTGCCTAAAAGCAATTACTCTGACAACCAGCTTGCCTAAAAGTCAAAGTAGTAATTTTGAAATAAGTCACTTTGTACCAATTTTTAACGAGGTACTTCAACATAATGACCCTGTCACAATCTGCAGCATTTTGTCAATGGTAACATTTTGTTATGCTTGTGGATGACTTTTTCTATTTTATCTCCTATTGAGCAGTTTTATGACTTTCTGGCAACTTTGCTGAAGACCTTCTCTTAAAATTGTATATTTACAGCAGTAAATACTTGTCAAATCTGTAGCATTTCCCATAAGATTTATCAAATGCACCTTTTTGATCACTCCCAGCTCCTTCTTGCTGGGTTCTACTTTGCATCCTATATGCCTCTGTGCACCTAATGAGTTGATTAACCAAATTAGCATATATACTCAGTGTTCCTGTCTGTTCTGCAAGGTATTGACATTTTGACAAGCATGAAGAAGTGAGACAGATAGGGCAGAATTGTGTTAAACTCCTTGCATTTTATTTTTCAGGCTCATTTATCAAGCAACTCTACTTTGTGAAACATAAAATGATACACACAAAGTCATTACCACATGTATTTATTACAGGAATTATAACATTTTTCAAGAAAGGCAAACTGGCTAAAAAGTCCCAAAAGTGTTCAAAAGTAGATAAAATTAGAAGACACCCACCAAGGATACAAAACTATTTTTAGTAGAAATCTCACATTTAGTCAGAATGTTCTTTAAAAAATTTCTTTCCAAAAATCCTTTAAAGGACACTGTAAAAAATTAGCACACTCAAACAGATGCCAAAACACTTAAAAGTGTACTGCATTTTATGTGAACTGGCCATTCAGTATAGAGATTTTTTTTGTGTGATTTTGTAGCAAATTGGTTTGTGGCCATTTGACCTGGAACCAACTTGGGATGTAGGCATCTTGCCTTCCACGTGCAACCTTGGACCTCAGGGGGCAGGAAGGTCTTTCCTGAATATGACCTCCCTGAGTAAGGGCAAATTGTTATTTTTAACTCTTTATTACAAAGACCTATTTACACAGAACAATCTTTACAGACACAGTGGCCATAATTATGGGAAGTGGATAATTTCTTAATGAAAAGGGCCTTAATGTCTTTGTATAAATTAGTATAAGAATCATACACAACCACTTTAAATAAGAGCACCCCAGTCCCCCATTGGCCTTTGTTGCCCTGTGCCATCCCCCTTGTCCCCCTTTCCCCCCTTCCTCATGAAGCTGCGAGGCTGATGAGATAGGAGATACAGAGAGGAGGAGGGGGAGGAAGGTCTAGCCCCTGGTAGGGGCATCAATGTCAGAAGAGGCTTTCTGGACATTGGCCAGCCCCTACTTTGAGCCTGAGGGTTGTTGGGGGGAGGTGAGTACTCAGCCAGGCTCCTCAGGGTGGGCCTTAAAGCAGCAGCAGCAGCAGCAGCATTAGCAGCAGCGGCAGCAGCAGCAGCATTAGCAGCAGCAGAAGGGCGAGAGGTGGGTAGGCAAAATCAGGGTTATTGTGGGGCTCGGGGGGCCCTGACTCCCCCTGCCCCCAAACATACATATGTGGCCAACAGGCCCTTGTCTCCTCTTTTCTCCCTCCTGGGAGGCCTCTTGAGAAGGAAGCCTGCTCACACCTACACTTCCTCCCATTCTTCCTTCCTTCCTTCCTTCCTTCCTTCCTTCCTTCCTTCCTTCCTTCCTTCCTTCCTTCCTTCCTTCCTTCTCTCCTTTCCTTCCTCCAAAGGGAAGGCCACTGGGAAAAAAGGTCCAGTCAACATGAAGGGAAGGCTATTGAGTCCAATGACTTAAGGCCATCTCTGAGCTCCTAAAAAGCAGTGTTGGGTCTCGGTGCCTGAGCTGCCCCTATGAAAACACCAGAGATATGGTAGTGCTGAAGGAATGGGATCACTTGGCCAGTTAAGAAATTTTTCAGCCCAGGCTGGGGAATGAACCAGCAGGGGCAGGCCATGGAGGGGGAGCAGCTCTGTCCCCATGCCACTGCTAACACACCACCACCACCATAGGGCAGTTCACAGCATGCTCACCTCCTTCCTCCTAGCTTCCTTAAGCCTCAACCCCAAGAAAAGGCACTTAGTAAGTTTTGAAAAGATATTAGGAGAGAAGAGGACATCATCAAGTGGGAGTTGGGAGACCTGGGTCCTCATTCTGGTTCTGCAGTGACCCTCAGCAAGTCACTATCCCTGTCTCAGCCTCTCTTTTCGTAGGAGTTTGCATAAAGAGGCAGAGCTCAGTGATCTGTAAGGTTGCTTTTGGCTCTGATATTCTGTGATTCCAAGCAAAAACAATTCTACCTGACTTTGCTCCTGGGAGGGCATAGAGCTACCTTGGGCCCATCACATTCCTCTCCTGAGCTAGAGCTTGAACTAGCTGTTGAGGGGCACAGAGTAAGTTGGGAAACAGCGAGTTGGCAGTAGTGTTAGAAGACACAGTAAGGTGAGAGAAGTGACAAAGTACTTTGTGACCCTCCCTTTACATCTTTAATCAGGCCAAACACGGGGACGAGGAAGCAGCCATGAAGCTGTTTCTCCTCTTCTTCAATGCTACACCACTCTCCTTCAGTACAGCACCAGCCTCCTACTCCAATGCCCTCCAAGGCACTCTGTCTGCATCCCAAGGTCCCTAGCTTCTAAGTAGAGTCTCTCATTGTTCATCTCTTTACTTTCCTCCGGAGGCCTGCTGAAGGGCCCATTTGGCACAAAAACCTGGGATCTGCTGGAGCCCAGTGAAGAAGAGATGTTTCCATGCAGCCCCCAGGGGAAACCTGAGGAAGAGAGGGCTGCATGAAGGGTTGGAATATTAGGTGGGAGAGTGGAGACTAGAGCAGGGGAAGTTCAGAGAGAAGGATGGCCTTCCAGTGCTGGGTTTCCAACGTCAGACAAGAGAAAGTCCAGGAAAAGGGACTGAATGCATCCTTGGGGGAGAAAGGGAATCATCAAACTAGGGGCAGGACCACGTCATTGAAGGAGGCTGGTGGGTAGGAAGAGCTGGGACCATCAGCCACTAGGACGAGTGCAAGATGAAAGATGAATGGATATAAGAGCTCCAGAGAAGCAGACCAATCTGTGGAGTAGAGAGAAATACAGGGGATAAGTACTTGAGGACCTCTTCAGTCCTAAATAGACAATAAAATGACCATGGAGATATCACTGACATGTCCTAGGTCAAAGGAACCACCCAGGAAAAGAGAGGAGACAGCATCATTCTGCCCCTCCTCACAATCCTGAGCATAAAGCCCAAGGCCCCTGAGTTGGTGCTACAGAGGAAGAGACAGCAGGCCAGACCTCAAGAACAGGCTTAGGCCCTGCTCTCTCTTCTGTCACCTCTGATTTTTCTCTCCTTCCTATGCTCTGGGCAACTATATTCCAATTCTCTGCCATCTACCTACCGTCCAAGGCTCTCTGTCCCCTCCTCACTCCCCCTGTCTGATGAGGATCCACACAGTATACCTATAGGCATTTCCTGGGGCACCCATCCCCATTTCATCTAAGACCCCTAGGACTTCTAGAACTATCCAACTAAGCCAGCCTGCCCAACCCCAGGGTGGAGGCGAACCAACACCCAACTGCTGAGGAGCCAGGAGGTTGGCCTCCAAGTGTCAAGCCCCTCTCTGGGCCTTGGTCTCCTCTTCTGCAAAATTGAGGGAGTGAAATGGGTGTTCTGTAAGCCCTTATGTTGTGTGTGGTGCTGGGACCGCTGGGAGCAGATGTCTGGCCAGTGATAAGCACAGGGTCACCCAGCTTCCAGGCTAATTTCCCCCCAGCCCTTCCATGCCACCCACTGATCAGAGGCTCAAGTACCTGCTTCAGAAAGGCATGGGGCCCTTATGAGAGAGACGTGGCCGCTGGCGGCGGAATTTTCTCCGACCTCCCTGCCAGGGCCCTGATCCATTTCTTGACCCTCTGGGCTGTACCAGGTGGCGGACATTGCCTTCCTCCAGCCCTCTCCCAGCAGGAGGCTGCAGCAGGGGCCCTGCAAGAAGGAGAAAGCTTGTTAGCTGGGGACCGCAGACAACAGGCCTATGGTAGGGGACAATCTCTCTTTAAAGTGGCATTCCTCATAGCTTTTCTTTGTTTTTATCTTCTATCTTGATGAAGAATTTGCAATTTTTCCACCGCCCTGAGGGCAAATGGAACCCACTCACCACATCTTGAAATTTATGGAGCTGAGTTTGTCCTTTAGACAGTTCTATCATGTTTCTGGCAGGCACAAAATCTTGTTCTTTATTTAGAACATAACTGGGGGGTGCAGTTTGTGATATTATGCCTGTACTTGGCTGGGGCATAGCAGGCAATAAAGGCTCCATTGCTCCCTTGTAACCAGTGCACTTAAAATATTTCAAATCTACAACATATTGACAAAATGAATGCCTCCACTGCCACATATCTATCACCCAGATTCAAGTTATTCAGATGAGATTATGTATGCCTTTGTTATCCCTTTTCTTTTTTCTTTGCTGAAATATATCAAAACCAATCCAGAATATCATGATATTGTGCTCCTAGGTCCTTTGCTATGTGGTGGCCCACTTTTGAATACTGGAGATCTCCTACCTCACCCCTGGCATCTTATCAGTGTTTAGGCATCTCCTGAGCTCCTTTCTCCTCTGGTCACCCTGTGGGCATGGCTGGGGTGTCCTCTAACTCTTATGTGTGCCATAAGCTGGGTTCTATTTGGCCTGTGACCAGATTTAGATGCCAATAAATATTACATGGATGGATGAATGAACAAATGAGTGCATGGTCACCTGAAGCGGCAAGTACATGCATAAGAAGGGGGCTGGGCTGCTGAAGTTGGCACCTCTCCACTGGGTGCCCCATCTCCTTTCATCCTCATACCATAAGCCCATTCTGTCTGATGTAAATGCCTGCCATTTCAATCCCAGTTGGCTTCTCTCCTGCTCACCGGGACCAGCTCTGCATCTGTCCACATTTGGCTTAGACTAGAAGCCTTCTGATTGCAGACCAAGCCCTGGCAGTAGACTCCAAGTGGTTCTGGGTGTTCCTGGTTTTGTTGAGAAATAAGACCCATGGGCTAGCTCTCATGGAGGCTGCAATCCAGCCAAGAAAGACTGGAAGCAGGAAGAATGGGGAGATGAGATGATGCTAGGCAAGAGGTGGACTGGCAGAGTACTCATGCAATGCCCATTATGGGGCTGGCTTGCAGAAATATGGCTTCCAAAGCCAGTGACCAGGAATCCCAGCCTCTCTTCCCCAACACCACTGGATTCACCTTCAGCTCTATCCCTATCCTTCAAACCCCAGTTCCATCACTAGTTCACAGTTTCCACATACCTCCCCACCTCATTGGCTGCTAGCCCCCAGTCATGCCCCTGGCCATTCCTCCTTTCCCTCCTCCTAGTTTCCAGCATCCTTCCTTGGTTCCTTGGCTCTTGTGATTCCTTCTCTACTTGCACAGTTTCCAGGTGTTTATTCTCCTCTTGGACCAAAAGCAAGTGAGGTTTGTCCTTAGGACCCTCCCTGCCCAGATTCCTGGGGCTTACTGCTCTTCACCCAGGCACACACACACACACACACACACACACACACACACTGCACACATGTGCACATTCTAGACCTCCACCCTTCTTCCTGACCCATTACAACCCTGCCCTTTACCAGTCACATTTCTGTGCTTCTGGTCAGTGTGGATTAATATGTCAGCTCCTCCCCTAAACTCATCACCTAATGAGAATTAAAACACAAATGAGTCTTGCATTTTAGAGCAGTAGGCATGGACAGGCACCATGAGGCCATTTCCATCTGTCATAGAGCTACCTATCCTCGTGGTGCCATTGGCAAAAGGTCTGGGCTGGAGGGGGAAGGAGGGAAGGACCTCCACTAAGCCCCCTAGCCCAGCTGCTCCAGCTTTTTCTTTGTATTTTGGGGTCCCCTCAAGGCTTTCCCTGCCCACTGATGCAAATAAGGATGATGCTAATTAGGAGTCAGTAGCAGAGAAACACTTGGGGCAGGAAGGGCTGTGGTGAGGGCATGGCCAGACACAGGGAAGGACCCTAGGAGCCTTGCAAATACAAGTGAGACCTTGGTTCTTGCATCCGTGCCGGCTACTGTGGGTGGTGTTGGTATAGGGCAATGGCACAAGCTATTACCCCAGGGGTACAGTAGGCATGCAAAAGAGAGGCTCAGTGTCCAGATTAGGGGGAGGGTTTATCTCCAAATGATCAGCCCCAAGGACTGTAAGTGTTGGTGGGCGGGCTTAGGGGTGTTGGGTCCTATGTGTAGGGCAGATAAACACAGTGGGGAACAAGGATGGTGGCTCCAACTATGACCAGGGAGATGTCTAGGGTCTAATAACCCTGCAGAGAAGAGCTCTCTGAGAAGTCTGAGCACTCAGCCAGGCCATACAGAGCAGCCACTCAGAAGCTCCTGGCATCTTATATCCCAACCATCAGGTGAAGTGCAGGGGGTGCTCGCTGTCCTTGTAGCCGGAAGTCTGTAGCTCCTCATACACTCTGATCCTATCACCCACCTGTTTCCTACTTTTGATTCTGAATCTGGCTCACCCTAAGATAAGCTGACACCTGAAACCTGGGCTTTATCCTGTCCAAAGGGACTTTTAGAGGCTGTTGATTCTCATCATTGCAGAGGTCCCAGCTACACAAAAGAATTCCCCTTTAGAAATGGGGGCCATTCTCAGTGCATTTAAATAGTTTCTTCCAACTCATTTGCTACTTAAAGGGAAGCTGGAGTAATCCCCCGACAATCTCCAGCCTAAAGGGACTGGAGCCATCACTGTCCAAAGCACCATCAGCAATGAAACCCCAGCATCTCTGCACTGAGAACCACAGCCAGGGATGACCAGGGGTTGATTTTCAGGCAGCCTGAACTCCATGTCTGCCAATGTACAAAGAGATACATGAGACTTTTCAGGAACATGCCAGCCTCACCAGGAATGATGCATCTGTTTTTCCCCTTGTCATCCAGCCTATCTTGTGATTACTTAAAAAACCCATATAGGTGCTCTGGTGGGGACCCTGCTGGCTATGTCCCCTCAACTACTCAGGGTCATGCATGTGTTTCCAAAATGAGGCCTCCTTTGTTTACCCAGCCCTCCACCCTAATGCCCTGAGCAATCTTCTCATGCCAGCTTTGCTGCCCTTGGACACATTACGCTCTGGCAGCCTGGCCCCCCACTTCACTTGCATTGTCACCAAGAGGCCCGACTCAGGTTACATGGATGCTTAGCTCATAGAAATAGAGGATAGAGTGGTGATACCCCCGCCCTGAGAAGGAGGGGTACAGTAGTATGTCCTCATACTATCCCTGACTGCAGGCTTTGAGCTGGAGTTGGGGAGGAGAAGGAGATAAAGAGAGGTACTCAGACAAGACCAAGGAACACTTGGCCCTGGCCCAGCAGCTCTCAGAATCAGAAGAGCAAAATATACCCCAGGTCAGGAGGCAGTGAAGGAGTATGTGTGTGCTGGTGGAGGATGGAGAAACATTCCAAGTTAGGACAGAGTTTTTTATGGAGGAAGCATGGTTTTCAGGCCTGGGACTTTGACTGGGAACTCTAGGTGGGGAAAGCATACAAGTCTGGACCAACTGCAAGGTGGTTCTGGGACTTCTGTTTCTGACCCAGGGCAGAAACCAGGAGAAAGAGGACATGGGTACCTGGACCCTTGGCTTGTTGGCCACCGGAATGGAGGTGCCATCCCTCTGATCCAGGAGAGGTCATGGGTGGAGAAGGCACTGGGAGCCTTGGAAGTCTCCTGTGCTAGGCTTGCAAAAAATGTGAGCACAACAAATTTATCCAAATCAGGAGAGATAGATGATATATGGCCCAATGAAGAAGGGTGAATTAAAGTAAGCAGTGACAGGGTCTGGGCCAGGCACAGTGTTCCCTCCCTTTGGAACCAGCTCTACCCTTTACCAGTACTGCCCTAAAATCTGGACCCTGAAAGTGTTCTAGTGGTGGTCAGTTGGCCAAGAGTCTCCCCACAGCCTCTGCATATCTGGGAGAGCACCAGATACGCAGATGAGGGAATCCTCTTTCTTCCCTGAAGACATCACCTTGGACTATTTATCTATAGTGGTATGAGGTGTGTGTCTTGTCTTGCCAACTACACTGGACAGTAGGCTAATGCAGAACAAGCCCAGATGGTGTCTTTCATATCTTTTGCTTTCTTTCCACCATTGCCTGACAGGAGTTTCTGAGGAAAAAGCCTACCCTCTTCTTAACAAGGACGTGGCTGTCCCAGAGTTCAGACCCTGACAGGAAGACCACTGGACAGCTAGCTGAAGGCAGGTAATGCCACTCCCAACCAAAGCACCTTTCAGAGAAGCCAGGCAGTGCTCCCAGGCCCAGGGAAGTGCTATAAGACAAGAGCAGAGAAAGGAGGAGGCCTACAAAGAAGGAGAGGTATAGCTCCACCAGCCCCCTCAGAGGTTCCTGGGCCGCAGGCCATCCTCCTGGTCTGGAGGGTTTGGAACCAAGTGGGGCCCTGTGCCCTTCCTCTAGGAAACTTGCTGTCCTGCCCTCTCCCTCTGCTCCCATTTCCTTGTGACTCCAGCCCTGGCACTGACATTAGTCCACCTGGTCTTGGGCTTTCCTTCTGTGCTGCCAGGCAGGCAGCAGACAGCCAGATCACAGGACTGTGGCAGCTGGAGGTGGGAGCTGGCAACCTCAGGAGATACTGATACAAAGAGGACACACAGCCCAGGGTGGGACTGCTGGGGCTTGGGGAGAGCAAGGGAGCACTAGTGCCAAGCATGCCGGGTGGGGGACCTGGTGCAGGTGGGGGCAAAAGGACTCCCCTTCCCTGAGCTGCATGGAGGTGTCAAGCTAGGCAGTGTTTCCTGGCTTGGTGCCTGGAGACAGGGCGACTAAGGTTAAGCATGCCTGTGCCTGACCTAGGACATCGAAGAACAGTCTGTGGGCCTCCTGTGCAAGGGCAGAACAGACCAGACAGGACCTTGGAGTAAGGGTGGAGAAGACCAGCCTGGCCTGGCCCTGCCCAGCTTGGCGCGGGAGGCTGCCGCCACTCTCAAACAGGCTGAAAGGAGCAGCAGCTGGGCTCCGTACCGCCGCCCCCTCCGCCCGTTCCTGCCTATGCAACAAGTGTCACGTCTGCATTTTGGCACATCATCTCCAGTGGCCTGCGCCCTAGGACCAGAGCAGCTGGGGGGTTCTAACCTGCAGGGTCCAGAAAACCTTCAATGAGAGAGTGCAGCCCACCGGGCTCAGGTCAGTTCCCTCCACTGACCCACGAAAGGAGAGGGACATGCCCCCCCCCCCACAGCCTCCACCACTTGGGATGTGGCGCTAGACTCGGGGAGCACGCCTGCGGCCCTGAGCTCCTAGGACTGTGAGGGCCAGCCAGGAGGAGGAAAAGCGCCGGGCGGGTGATGCTGGAGGTTGCAGCTGGTGGTGCCTGGCCGGGGACGCCCTGTCAGTCTGCGGCCAGCACGGGGCTGGTCCTGCCCGCAGGCGCCAGTCTCTGGGAGGTGGAGAGCGCAGGAGTGGGAAGGAGGGCAGAGCGTGAGGCAGCGGCAGCCAGAGAACAGCGAGTGGGGCGCGGGCATACAGGAGGCAAACACTCACCTCCACATACCGCGGTCAGGGAAAGCCAGATCAGCAGGAGCGCCTGCACGCAGAGCCGCAGATTCATACTGCTCCTCTGGCCGCTGCGCAGCGGGCCTGGCCAGGAGGTGGGGAGGTGGAGAGGTCTCGAGTCAGCAGGCCCAGAAAGACTCTAGCCGAGGCTCTTGCAGACTGGTGGGCGAGGAGCTCCCGGGACTCCCGGCCCGTGCCTGCGGCACGGGCAGCTGCGCGCTTGCCGCCTGCCCTCGCCTGCAGCCTCCCTCCCTCGTGCGTGCGGGCTGCGCCGCCAAGCTGGCCCCAGCGACTCCGGGGGCTGCTGCGAACTCTTTCCAAGAGGCAGGCTGCTCAGCCGCGGCTCCAACTGCCCGAGGTCCAGGCTGCCAACGAGAATGCTCCCTGCTCACTCTTGGGGCTGCATTTTGTAGGTTGTGGCTTGGCCAACAGCCCACTTGGTCATGTGGTCATCCGGAGGGCTGGGGGGGTGGGGGCCAGGAAGAGAGAGAGGGAGCGAGCCTCCCTCACCTCCCCCCCTCCCAGCACGCACTCTGTAGCTCCGGTCAGGGCCCTAGAGGTAACCTCGATGTAGCCCCACAACGAAAGGCTGCATGGTCGCACCTACAACCCACGACCACTTCCCGGACAATGCCCGCCTGGCTGGGGGCAAGAGGGTTTTGGAGACCTGAACGACTTCAAACACAGGAAGAATTTGGGGCGGTGGAGGGGCACACTTAACCTTTTCTCACCTCTATTCCTTACCAGCGGCGAAGGAACCTAGGCGCTCTTAGAAGGACCTGGCCAAGGCTGCTCCAATTCTAACCCTCTGACATCGGAAACAACTCTGACCCTCTCTCTCTCCCTACCACTCGCATCAGCAATAGCTTGGCAAAGACACACACACACTGGCCCGCTTATCTTCACTGTTCAGCAACTTCAGCTGTGTTTGTATTAAGGATGACTGCCCAGGTTTGTGCACAAGACTGCTTAATTGCCAAGCAGCTCCACAAGGCACGCTCTACCTGGAATGCTCTCACTCTGTCCATCCTGCCCCAGAATTCTTCATTCTTGCAGAAGTACTTAAAATCTCAAATCCAATCTAGATTTGCCGGGATAACAAATACTGCAGGAGGGGCTGCCCCTGGGTCCGTCCTCACTGCTGGGACATGTAGCAGCTCCTATTGTACCAGGAGGAGGGCAGTTTAGCCAATTCCAAACCATCAAGACTGGATTCATTTTTCATATACTAGGGATTTCCTTTTGTAACTGTGTCCTGAAGTTGCTTGCCTTCTCAGACTAGACTGTCAGCTCCTACAGCCTGGGGGCTCCCAAGGGAAGGGACCACCTCATTCACTAGACAGGGAACCCCTTAAGATAGAACCCTGTCTTCTCATTCTTCTACATTTCTACAAAGTCCCCCATATTGGACTCTGCACATACATAGGTGGCACTTGACACCTGTTAAAAGACAAATATCAAACAGGGTTTCCGCATTTCAGCCAGCCAGGCAGTTTGCTTGGAGTGCAAGCCCAGATTAACACAAAAAATGCACTGAACAGTGTATATGTGTGCCATAAAAGATACAAGAGAAGCACGGGCCTGCGAACCAGACAATCGCGGTTCGATTCCCAGTCAGGGCACATGCCTGGGTTGCAGACCAGTTCCCTGCAGGCCAGTTCCCAGCAGGGGACGCAGGAAAGGCAACCATACATTGATGTTTCTCTCCCTTTCTCCTTCCCTTCCCCTCTAAAGATAAGTAAATAAAATATTTTTAAAAAAGATACAAGAGACCACGGTATTTTAAAAGTATGTTTGAAATGTTTAAACAATCCAGTACATACACAATTTATTTATGAGCAATCGCCTCCATAATTGTGAGCTCCACAAGAGAGGGATCCATGCCTTGTTCACTTCTGTATCCCCAAATCTAGACTAGTGTCTGGGACATGGTGCTCAACACATAATTTTGAATATATAAATAAAATTTTCTAAAACATCCCTTTTGCCTAAATCAAGATAGTGGGAAGAGAACAAAATAGGGTTCTTCTTAATAGTCTGTGGCTCACTAGTCACATTCCAGTAGGAAAAGCAGAGACATGAAGCAGAACACCTCTTCATCCATAAGGTCCAGGCTGTGAACAGCAGGCATTGGTAGCATGAGATCATCTTCCCCACTCTCCCTTGAAAAGAATCTTCGACCCCAAAGGAAAAACACCTGGCCTCTCATCTCCACCCTTAGCTACTGTAGGACCATACTATCATCATCTAAATATACCAGGTCTCATGGGAATGATCATCTCCACCTTCCGTCCCTCAGGGCTGTTGTAGGATGAAATGAGATAATGTACCGGAAGGCACTGTGCCAGTGGGAATAAACCCTCGTAGGGTCATTTTTAGAAAGCATGATGTTCCAACCCCTGGTTGAGTAAGCCCACGCACCCCCAAGTGACCCTCACCTATAACTAGGTTAATAGAAGTATTCACATACTTTACTAGGAATTCCCTTTACTAGGGTGTGTATGGACAATTTGCTAATACACACCTTGGTGGTTAGAACTGTGCTTTCCAATCTAGTAGATATAACATTCAAAATTATTGGAAGTTTTCATTTCCTCAGTTGCACTGCTCACATTTCCATTGCTCAGTAGCCACCTGCAGCTACAGTATTGGACAACACAGAATAGATCCTTTAATTCATTGCAGAAAGTTCCACTGGACAGTGCTGGGTTACAGCACCTCATTTATTCTTCCCTTTTCTATAATCTTTTCCTCCACCTTAGCTAGTCTTCAAAATGCACAAGGGAAAAATACAATAGGAAACCAATATTGTTCAAGGCAAGCAATAGAGTAAAATGCAGAAAGCATGCATTTAAAGCAAGATTTAAAAAGCTGAACATGCAGATGAGTCATGTTTTAATCTAATCCTTCTCTTTATTTAACCAAATTGCATCATTTTTCCAGTTCCAGATCCAAGCTATCATCTTGCTCCTTTCTCAAGCTACTCTTGCCCATGATGACTTTGCCCTCTTCATAATAGCTATGGCTGTACCTATCATTGGCAGTTACTCTTGCAATGTGTTGGAGGAGGCACGTTTGCATCTGCTTGCTATGCTCTGCAGGTCTGCAGAGAAGGTCTGCCACCAGTGTACCCATTCTGGAATTGAGGCCCATGATTGCTCACTTTGAAACCCTGTGGGTTCCCATACATGTCAAATCACATTCAAAGGACCGGTTCTCATATCTGCCTCCACCCACCAGACTTGAAGGTAACCAGAATTGTAGTACTTAGCACAGCACTTAACACATAGCCAACACTCAGAAACTGCTTTGTTGAAAAAATAAATAACCGTTGGCATAATTCTGTGCTTTCTTTTGTTCAAGAAGATGATACCATTGAGTTAATATCAGCAGAATAAATTTTTTAATGTATTTTATTGATTATGCCATTAAAGTTGTTCTATTTCCCCCTTCATTCCCTTCCACCCTACACACCCCTCCCCCACCATTCACCCCTTTAGTTTATGACCACATGTCTCAAGTTCTTTAGATTCTATGTCTCCCCTACTATTCTTGCCCTCCCCCTATCTATTTTCTACCTACCATCTATGCTACTTATTTTCTGTACCTTCTCCTCCCTTCTCCTTCTCCCACTCCCCTGTTGCTAACCCTCCATGTGATCTTCATTTCTATGGTTCTGCTCCTGATCTAGCTGTCCTCTAGCTGTCCTTTTGTTTTAGGTGTGGTTCTTAATAACTGTGAGTTTTCTGACCTTTCACTGTTCATCTTTTTTATCTTCTTTTTCTTAGGTAAGTCCCTTCAACATTTCATATAATAAGGGCTTGGTGATGATGAACTTCTTGAATTTGATCTTATCTGAGAAGCACTTTATCTGCCCTTCCATTCTAAATGAAAGCTTTGCTGGATAGATCAATCTTGGTTGTAGGTCTTTGGATTTCATGACTTGGAATACTTCTTTCCAGTCCCTTCTTGCCTGTAAGGTCTCTTTTGAGAAATCTGCTGACAGTCTGATGGGAACTCCTTTGTAGGTGACTATCCCCTTATCTCTTGCTGCTTCTAGAATTCTCTCCTTCATTTTAATCTTGGCTAATGTAATAATGATGTGCCTTGGTATGTTCCTTCTTGGGTCCAACTTCTATGGGACTCTGTGAGCTTCCTGGATTTCCTGGAAGTCTATTTCCTTTGCCAGATTGGGGAAATTCTCCTTTATTATTTGTTCAAATAAGTTTTCCACTCGTGGCTGTTCCTCTTTCCCTTCTGGCACCCCTATAATTCTGATGTTGGAATGTTTAACGATGTCCTGGAGGTTCCTAAGCCTCTCCTCATTTTTTTGAATTCTTGTTTCTACATTCCTTTCTGTTTGGTCATTTTTTTTCCTCTTTCTGGTCCACTCCTTTGATTTGAGTCCCAGTTTCCTTTCCACTACTATTGGTTTCCTGTGCATTTCCCTTCATTTCAATTAGTTTAGCCTTCATATGTTCCTCTAATTTTTGACTAAAATCAACCAGTTCTGTGAACATCCTGATCACCAGTGTTTTGAACTGTGCATCTGAAAGTTTAGGTATTTATTGTCACTTAGAGTTATTGGGTCTGGGCCTTTGAGTTCTTCTTGAGCCATAATGTTTTGCTCTGTTCGAGCCTGTTACGTACGAGGAGCGGAGCCTTAGGTGTTAACAAGGGTGGGGCCAGCCAGGTTGCTGGTTTGTGACACTTTTGTGGGGACGGGGTCAGAGAGGGACAGTAGCGTTTCCCTCTGCCTCTTCCTGCTGCTGGGGCCTGCGTGGTCCGTCTCACCGCTCACTCCTTTGCCAGTTTATCTGTGTGTGAATGTGTGACCATGGTCAGCCCTCAGTGGGTCCTCCCGCTGCTACTCCACACCTGGGATCCACCCACTGCTTCCTGCGTGCCTGGGTCATGCACCCTGGTCGGTCCCATGGATCTTTCCTGCCTGACCCCCCTCTGCTGCTGGCTCTGCCCCTCTTATCAGTTTGGCTGAATGGTTCATTGTTGTCAGACTTCCGTATAGTTCAATTTTCTGTAGTTTGGCTGCATTTTTTTTTTTTGCTAAAACTTTGTTGTTTTTAAACTTGGTTGTGCAAGAAGGTACAGTGTTTCCACCTATGCCTCCATCTTGGCGGAAGTCGGTATTTTATTCTTTTGATGCAATTATAAATGGGATTGTTTTCTTTTATTTTATTACATTTTAAAGTATTTTTATTGATTATGCTATTATAGTTTTCCCAATTTCCCCCTCCATCCCCCCTCCTCCCTGCCCCCCAACCCTCCAGCTTTCCCCTGCTTAGTTCATGTCTGTGGGTTGTACATATAAGTTCTCTGAGTCCTCTGTTTCCTATACCATTTTCATCTTTCCCCATCTATTTTGTGCCTACT